GAAAATATTTGACTGCCTTCCCGGTTGAATGTTTATCTGAAATTTGGTATGTGTAAACTAGACTTAATGAAGAAGATGCTCAAAACATTTCTTCAAACAATTCCAACGGGAACCTCCCCAAATGGCGACGGCCGAACAGAGCCTCCCATATAAGGGGTGATTTGCACGTTTTACGTAAGTTCAAGGGCTTGTTTGGCAGTTCTCCCTTTATCCTTCATATCCCTTATCTTGGTGATTTTTCCATCATTTGTAATAGAGCCAAAGACTCACTATTTTATTGATTTGGGAATATGATGAAATAAAACAAAATGACTTACTAAACTGTCTGCGCTTCTTTGTTATGACGCATCAGTCAGTCTTGTAATTTTCGACGTGATTTTCACTATGGGTCATTCAGAAACTGTTTCTCTGTGCTTTAGTACAGGGTAAGACTGCGTACATCCGACCCCTACCTCATTGTTCGTGGGGGCCTTTACGACACTGGAGTAATAATGATGAATGATCTCTTATCTTGGTGATGATTGCCAAACTATTTTTCATTGTGTTTATTCAAAGTCAAATCGTCTATTTCTGCATCTTTAACGAACTGCAATTTCTTAGTCCTTTATTAACAAACATTTCACACATTAAAGTAAGATAATTCATTGAGGTGGATGAAAATTTGGAAACAAGTGACCTTTAAATTTCTACAACACTAAATAGTTTTTTATGGTGATCACGTTGGAATGTTATTAAGATAGACTCATAATGATGTGTAATAGATTTTGTAACAAGGAATTCCCCCTAATTCTTCGTTTCTTACTCCTAAGAAGTCTCACACTCTCACTATCCAGATTGGGGAATTTTACTAATCAACGTGTAGTGCCCTCAAAAATATACTTCTGTCCGTTCATCACATTAACTTTTCTTGATTAATGACGAACTTTGGACAATAATTTTAATTACTAAATCTATATCTATATGTAATTTATAAAATTTATACTTTTATGAAGAAAATAATACTTTTATGAAAATATTTTGAATAAGGAACATCATAATATAATTTTTGAGTGGTCTTCTTGTCAGGCCGGCCTGACGGGATGCTCCGTCCGGCCGAGCCCGTTTGGGCACCTTTCCGGTGGAATTTTTTGATGAAATTTTTTGAGCATATTCCTCATTAAGTCTAGTTTGTCCATACTAAATTTTAGCTCAAAATTCGACCGGGAAGACATTCAAATCATTTTTTGAAGTTGACTGCGTCAAAGTATACATATAAAACTGCAGTCAACTTTAAAAAATGATTTGAATGCCTTCCCGATCGAATTTTGAGCTGAATTTTGGTATGGACAAACTAGACTTGATGATGAACATGCTCAAAAAATTCATCAAAAAATTTCACCGGAAAGGTACCCAAACGAGCTCGGTCGGACGGAGCATCCCGTTAAGCCGGTTTGACATGAAGATTTGTCTATAATTTTTTATATTCAAAATAATTTCGTTTAAAAAAATATCATTTAATTGTTATTAACAAAAAAACCAATGTTGTAAAGGTACTTGTGAACTTTAGAAACACTAGGTAGGCGGCCTCTAACCCCTCGTCGTTTCTGTGCACCCATTTCTCATCACCTATGTTGCACGGATACGGATACGCCGATACGCGGATACGCGGATACGGGTACGACGATACGGCACTTTCAAAAATTATAGGATACGGGTACGGGGGTATATTTATAAATAATAAAAATATAGGGTATAATTTGCAAATATATATAATTCAGGGGTTCATAAATAAAATAATAATAATAATAGTACAAAAATTAACTATTATAATAAAGTTTCAAAGATTAGTCTAAAAAACTAAAGTATTGATATTTTGATTTAAATTCAAATAATTTTTTTTCGTTCTCTATTTGCATTTACATCCAAGTCTTGTTTCAATTAAATATCATCAAGCAATGAAATGTCAAATTATAGTATTCCATTATTTTTCATACTCCCGAAACCATCTTTATCAATGTTCCACATGTTGTGGTCGCTTGGTTGGCTACTAAATTTTCGTCATGTCGTGTATAAAATGAGGGGTTATAGGTTCAGATACGTGTATCGGTTCACGGATACGGGTATCGGAAGTATCGGTATTTTTAAAATTAAGCCCGATACTTTTATTAAATTACGGATACGGACCCAATACGTACAGGACGGATATCGGTAAGTATCGAATACGAATACGTATCGGATACGCGGATACGACATCGAAGTGAAGTATCGGTGCAACATAGCTCATCACTCATCTCCTCCCCATCATTCTCCAGGTGCCCGCGAGCCGCAAGTACGGAATTACCATCCCCATCATTACAGACATTACCCAAGAAGATAAGCGTTGGGTTACCCCCCGCTTATGGGAGAGTAAAATTACTGCAATGACGATTATAGCAGGAACTGCAATGCACGATCTCTCGTTTGCCATACACCTTTGCTCCTTTTCACCTTCCACTTTACCTCATGACAGAGTCGGGATTATCCTGCCCTGTAAGAGGTACACGAAACTCCGGACCCGCTTCATCGCATTGGCATTCCCGGCTACCTGCTCGCTAAAAGGCGTCCTGAGAAGGACGGCTGAGCAGACTTCGTCGCCAAGAACTACGCCGTACCGAAGGAAGCAGCCGCCGGCGGTACTTGACAGAAGCGTCGACATGAATGAACTGGCGCTGTGCATTGGACAGACAACTAACGAACGAGAGCTCCACGCTTTGATGTCGCCGTACAAAAGTCGGGAGCTTTCCGCGCGATTCATGCTCACCCTCATCTCACGCGAATCCGACTGGCAACGCTGTCTCGCGCTGCTCGATTGGATTCACGAAGAGGCTCTGTACACCCCTTCCGTGTTCGCCTACAACGTCGTGCTTCGTAATGTTCTCCGAGCCAAGCAATGGCGCCTTGCCTCTGGACTGTTCGACGAAATGCGCCAACGAGGCGTCTCACCAGATAAGTACACTTACTCGACTTTAATTACCCATTTCGGGAAAGAAGGCCTGTTTGACGATGCTCTATCTTGGCTTCAGAAAATGGAGCATGACCATGTGACTGGGGATCTGGTTCTGTACAGCAATTTAATCGAGTTGTCTCGTAAACTATCTGATTATCCAAAAGCTATATCAATATTCTCCAAACTAAAGAGCTCAGGGATTACCCCAGACCTGGTAGCTTACAACTCAATGATAAATGTGTTTGGGAAAGCCAAGCTTTTTCGGGAAGCAAGTTTATTGCTAAATGAGATGATGTCAAATGGTATTACCCCAGATACCGTTAGTTACTCTACGCTTATGAGTATCTACATGGAGAATCGGAAGGTTCTTGAAGCTCTATCCGTGTATTCTGAAATGAAGAAAGCAAACTGCCCGCTTGATTTAACAACCTGCAATATAATGATCGATGTGTATGGACAGCTTGATATGGTGAAAGAAGCAGATAGTTTGTTTTGGAGTATGAGGAAGATAGGGATCGCACCAAATGTGATAACTTACAACACCCTTTTAAGGGTTTATGGTGATGCCGAGCTGTTTGGCGAAGCCATACATTTATTCAGATTGATGCAGAAGAAGAACATCCACCAAAACGTCGTGACATATAACACAATGATTAAGATATACGGGAAAACACGTGAACACGAAAAGGCAAACAACCTTGTTAAGGAAATGGAGACTAAAGGGATCAAACCGGACACCATCACATTCGCTACTATGATCCACATATGGAGTAAAGCAGGAAAGTTGGACCGAGTCGCAATTCTGTTTCAGAAGCTACGGTCTTCTGGGGTTGAATTTGATCAGGTTTTATACCAAACGATGATCGTGGCTTATGAACGGGCCGGACTAGTTGCCCATGCCAACCGTTTGCTGCAGCAACTGAAACGGCCCGATAATATTCCTCGGGAAACCGCTTTACTGGCTCTTGCAGGAGCTGGTCGGGTAGAAGAAGCAATGTGGGTGTTTCGGCAAATGATTGATGCTAGGGAGGTGAAGAACATAGAGGTTTTTGAGTGCATGATTGATCTTTTTTCTAGAAACAGAAGTTACAAAAATGTCATTGACGTGTACCAGAATTTGAGAGAATCGGGGTTTTCCCCGGATTCAAACATGGTTGTCATGGTCCTTGATGCTTATGACAAGTTGGGGAAGTTTGAGAAGGCGGAGTGTCTATATAGGAAGATGAATGAAGAGGAGGAACGGGTTTTGTCAGACGATGTCCATTTTCAGATGTTGAATGTGTATGGGGCTCAGGGGGATTTTGAAATGGTTGAGACATTGTTTGAAAGACTTGAAATTGATCCACGTGTTAACAAGAGGGACCTGCATCAAGTTGTTGCGGGTATATATGAACGAGCAAACAGAGTAGAGGATGCAACTCTCATGTCAACGGAATGAGCGACATGAGAGTCCTTTTATCATGATCTCTCTCTCCCAGATACAAATTGTATGACCATTTGTTGTTTTCATATCTATCTCAGTGTATATATGTAAACTGCATATTTAATTCAGTGTAGAACAAAACTTATTGTGTAGATTTCTGTGTCTATTACACAGTCCATCTGGTTTTCTCGTCCTGCAAAATTTAATCCTTATAATTGCTACAACAATAACATCGGAGCCTTATTCTCAAAAGAATTTAAATGACCTACACCTACCTATATTAAGGAGTCAAATAATGAGTGCTTTATTTAGTGATCTCGTCGTTATAATATCTCGTTTGTTGGACTTGATGCCTGGCGATTAGCGTGATGTGGAGAGAGGGGCATTGAAGATTCAAGTGGGAGGTTTCACCCAGTTCTGGTTCACAGTCAAATTAGTAGAATAACAATCTCGCTATTGTTACAGACATATCAGCACCAGTGGTCTAGTGGTAGAATAGTACCCTGCCACGGTACAGACCCGGGTTCGATTCCCGGCTGGTGCAATTTTTTTTTTTTCAATCACGGATACTACTCCGTATTATTTTCCCCTTACCGCCTCACATATTTTTTTCCCCGACACGGCACACCCACGGTTCACGATTTTGTCAGTTGACATGATTTGCAGTTAAGCCGTAATAAAAAGGAAAAGGAGGAGATTCTACGGACGCAACTGGTGCTTGTCTTCATCATGATTATAATGGAACCTTCAATTTCTTGACCCTTCGCCGAAATTTAGATCTGTGATGGAAATTTTCAAAAAAGCCCAAACCGTCCGGCTAATGAGCCACCACGACAAATACCTCTCCGCCGACCGGAAGGACGAATCGGTTTTCCAATGCAGGGACGGCTCCACCAAGGCCGCGAAATGGACCGTGGAATTCGTCGAAGGGGCCCACTTCGTCCTCCGCCTGAAGAGCTGTTACGGCAGGTACCTGACCGCCACCGACGAGCAGTACCTTCTCGGCGTGACGGGCAGAAAGGTCATTCAAACGGTACCTAAGAAACTGGACTCGAAGATCGAATGGGAACCCGTGAGGGAAGGGAACCTGGTGAAGCTGAAAACAAGGTACGGCAACTTTCTGAGGGCGAATTCGGGAATCCCCCCTTGGAGAAACTCAATCACGCACGACATTCCTCACAGGCATCAAGACTGGATTTTGTGGCAAGTTGAGATTCTCGAAGTCCGTCCGGACTCGCCGGAAAAGATCCCTAGATCAGATTACGCCGACGATGACTTGTCCAACTTTAGGCTTGCCTCACCATCTCTTTCCCAACACTCGGTAAGCTAAGTAGGGGTATTCAAATAATAACAACAACAAAAACTATGATAATGATGATGTGATGATGACGATTACTGTTTTAAAAAAACAATATAACTATTGGCTTTTGATTTTTAAGTTTTAAACTTTAATTTCATGTATTGGTTTAGCTTCGCTTTCTGTAAACCTGTGAACCTTTTATTATTATAATATGAAGTTTTTCATCATTGTGGCGATAATTGATAAATTATCATCATTTTTTTATGAATATGCTACTCAGCTAGCAGTTTCGGTTGGGACTAGTTAATTAAACTTATTATGTAGATTGGTTTAAGAAAAAGTAGCCAGGCCATTTCTCAAAACATGATTGGTTTTAAAGTTTTAACCTTAAACCGTCGAATCCGCACCATGAAAACTCCTCTCCCTCCCTTTCAGTTACTTGCTGAGAAGTAGATTCAAGATTAGCGGCATTGATATAATACAGAGTATTGTATATAGTCTGATTAAAGCTGAAATGAAAATGTACGTGCAGCGAGGGGAGTCGGTCGATGGGAGTGAAGGGCGGGTCATATATTACTATGTGGCGGATGATAACGGGAATGTTGAGGATAATGGGGTTGAATGGCCATGCTTCCATTTTAAAGGGAATGGTTTGGAGGAATTGAGTGAGAAGCTGGAGGAAGAGACAGGGCTTGAAGATGTGATCGTGTGCATGCGCAACCCTTTGAATGGCAAGGTTATCCCTCTCCGCTTAGCTCTCCCGCCTAACAATTCTACCATGCATGTCGTCGTTCTTCCTTCCTCTTCCAAAGGTTAGTCTTCTCATCACCCCGTTGCCCTAGCTAGTAGCTTCTCCATCTGGAGATGGCAAGTAATAAATGTGTAGTCTATAACTATATCATATTAAGCTAGCTTTTAGTTCAGTAACTTCAGTTGTAAGAGAACACACACACACACATCTGGTAGAGCTACACCTTCATTGCTGTTGTTTCTTTTGTTTCCTAATTGACATCAATGATGGTTCACATTCCTTTATTCATGTGTCTTTTTGTGTTGTTGACAGCGGCTAGAGTCTTTCTGCCGGAAAGTTCACTCTCACCATCTCATTGTTGATCAATGATCAATCCATCCCTCCACGGATAGCTAGGGTGGTCATTCATACTCACAAGAGAGAAGAACATTCAGATAGCATGGGGTTATTCTTCTATGATTTGTTTTTGGGATAAGGGTCAGATAGGGCCTCGAACTCGAAAAAAAAATGTCAAATAAGGTCATATTTTGGATGCTCTGTCTGGCCGACGCCATTTGGGGCGGTTCCCGATGGAATTTTTTGATAAAATTTTTTGAGCATCTTCCTCATTAAGTCTAGTTTACCCATACCAAATTTCAGCTAAAAACTCAACCGGGAAGGTAGTCAAATGAGTTTTTGAAGATAACTGTGAAGTTAAACAACGCCGTACATTTCGGAAAATTATTTGACTACCTTCCCGGTTGAATTTTTAGCTGAAATTTGGTATGGGTAAACTAGACTTAATGAGGAAGATGCTCAAAAAATTTCATCAAAAAATTCCATCGGTAACCGCCCCAAATGGCGTCGGCCAGAGAGAGCGTCCGAAATATGACCTTATTTGACATTTTTTTTCGAGTTCGAGGCCCTATCTGACCCTTATCCCTTTGTTTTTTGATTGTGATTTGGACGGAGTGAATCTTATGTTTGCTGAGTGTGTAATAGCCTTCTTTGATCCAACAAGGGGGGCATTGAATAATGTAAAGAGGGATTGAAGTGTCCATCCTTAATTTCATGTTAGCACTTTAATTTCATTGTGCAATGATTGCCAAGCTCTACAAATCATTCTTGGAAATCAACCTGTACTAAACGCTACTGTATAATATAAGCTACAAACAGGGCCGTCTAGAGCATTTATGAGGCCCTAGACAATCAAATAGGCAGTTCATTGAAATATATAATTTTATTGAGCTTAACAATACTCTGTATAAAAAATATAATATCTTGTAAATTACATACAAAATGTCGCATATCCTGCTCCTGTTTTAATATGACGAGAGTACTTAAGAATCAATCGATCCAAAATTGACAAGGAAATTCATGGATACTTACAACTTACTTTTCTAGCTTTTTGAAGAGAAAAATTAGTAAGAACATCATCAATTGGAAATAATAATAAAAACTTGCAATTTCATACAAAGTACATAGTACTACGGGTAATAGATAAGTAAATGACTCAAAAATAAAAATTTAATCAACCTGACCATATAACCGCACATCACAATTTCAACTAGATAAAGTCTTTATAAAATTAAAAAATTACAATTTCAACTAGATAAAGTCTTTATAAAATTAAAAAATTCACAAATATAATTATCATAATCAATTATTTGGTTTACACAACGAAATAAAAAATTGAATTGTTCGAGTAAATGTTAAGTTTAAATCAATATATAATACTCGGTAATACAATTATGCTTGCACTTGTTAGTCAGTTAGGGTCATATATACAAATACATGCATTTAAGATTTTATTATTTTAATACAAATTAAACACTAGTACATTAATACATCCTAGTGGCCTAGTCCCTGGCCCACTAAAAACTAGTGGCCTAGTACATTAAGTAATTGATAGAGTATATGGGCCTGGACCCCATGGCCCACATACTCAACGGCCCAAAAGACACCAGCGGGACACCCGCATCGGCCAAAGGCACGTGACGCCCAAGGGAGAAGATATCGCCTGATTTCTATGGACCGCATCGTCAGTGAACCGCGTCGTCCATGGACCGCGTCATCCATGGACCGCGTCGTCCATGGACCGCATCGTCCATGGACCGCATCGTCCATGGACCGCATCGTCCGGACTTCGTCCGGGCAGAATGTATTTTCCTATTTTTTGTACTAAGTGTTGTACTCAGCCCATTAGTGGCCTTATTCGCCCAAAGAAGGCATGATTATTGTAATGGGCCTCCTAAGCCCAAGGCTAGGGGCCCAAATCTACATTTTTACCTATAAATAGACCCCAAGGGGCTAATTATAGGGGATTCTTTCCAATTTGAGAAATATAATTGCTCACTTTCTCTCTCTAGCTCTCACTTCCCTCTAGAATTAACACTCTATCATTTGGTGCTTTCATTGAGAGCCTAGAACAGATCAAGTGAGTACCCTTCGTCGCTACCAGACACTACCACTAGCAATGACAAGAACTAGGTCAAAGAACACCGGTAGGAACGCCCCTCTGAACCAGGAAGGGCAGGGAAACGTTGCTGACAACGTCCCCAATGATCTCATCATCCAGGATGAGAATGCTCAGGAGGTCGAGCACGCGACGGCTGACCTTCGCGTCCAGCTCAACAGGACTGCCCCAGACGCCCGCATCGGGCTCGAGGACAGGCGCAATGCTGATCGCGCTTCGGGCCAGCAGACTTCTCACCCTGCTGCCCCCCAGATCAACCCGGCCGCACTATCGGCCATCGTTGCGAGCATCCTCCAGGACCCCAACGTCGTCAGCGCTCTTGTCGCAAAGACCGGGGAAAACAACACTCCTATAACGGGAGAGGTCGCAACGGTGCCACCACCGCCACCTCGTCCGCAAGGCGTCACCTTCTTCGGTGACAACGAGGACGTCCTCGCCGTGGACACCCATTCCCACACTGCCTCACCTACCCGGGATACACCGGCCCAGCCTCGCGGTAAAATCTCAGCCTTCAACAGGCTGGGTGACATCGCGAGCCGTCGGGTACCTACGGGAGGGGTGGCGGGTCGGTTGGGTGCCCGCGAGCCGGGGTCGCCAAAGGAAAGCTTCGGGTCCGTTTCCCGGACAACGGATCGGCCCCGACAAGACAAAGGAAAGGGAAAACTGAATGATGATGATGCGCGTCATCAGATCAACCTGGCTCACGCGGCCCGGATCCAAACCCCGCTGGGTGGCGCTGCGGCCAACACGGACCCGAGGGACGAGATCATCGCCCGCCTGGAGAAGCGCCTCGCAGATATGGAGGCCCGAGAGGCCGCAGGGCGCGCATCGGCCCAGACATCCCAGCATCCCAACTACGACGCACTCCTGAGCAAGGTCAGTGCTCTGGAAAGGGAGTTGGCTGACCGGCGCGATGAGCCCGTCATCCAGATACGGACCAGAACCCCCTTCTCCGCAAGGGTGCTCTCCACTCCCATCCCAGAGAAGTACAGGGGGAATCCGATCAAGCCATACGACGGCCGCACTGATCCCCAGGAGCACTTCACCCGTTACCAGAACAATATGATGATGACCAACGCTTCGGAGGAGTACATGTGTCGCTGGTTCCTATCCACCTTGGAGGGACCAGCGTACGATTGGTTCAACAACCTTCCGGAGGGGAGCATCGACTCATGGCAGGACCTTGCTCAGCGCTTCCTCACCCACTTTGCCGGGAGGAAGCGCGCAAAGAAGCATTTCGCCCATCTCCTGACCATCAAACAACAGCCGGAGGAGACGCTCCGAGCCTTCCTCGATCGCTGGACGAGGGAGGCAGACGAATGCGAAGGAGCCGATGAGCGCACCCTCCTGGCCTTCCTCCGCGGAGCACTCCGGCCTAGCCACTTCGCCCGGAGCCTGTTCACGGAGCCGCCGCGGTCATACCTCGCGGCGCTCCGACGCGGAGATAGGCACGCTGATGCCGACGAGCTCCTGAACCAGAAGAAGGGTGGGGAGAAGCAACAAAAGGACTCCTCGTCCAACCCCCACCACCCGCCGGCCAACAAGGGACAACACCAGCCAAAGAGGGCACACCAGGAGCAAGGCGGACAGCGAAGAGAGGACCGTTCATGGCGCCCAAAGTTGGAGGCACAGCGCATCCCCCTCACCCACCCGGTGAGCGTCGTCCTCGACCACGCCGAGGCGCAGGGCCTCATTGTGAAGGACCCCAGGTCAGAGGAGGAGATATTTGCGGTCCACAAAGGAGGGACATACTGCAAGTACCACCGCCAGACATCCCACAAGACCGAGGATTGCACCACCTTGAAGAGGCACATCGACGGCCTCATCCGACAGGGGGAACTTTCCCAATTTGTCAGAGGTGCCCCCAAGAGTAACACTTGGGTCAACCCTGGCAAAAGGGGGGAAGGATCCTCCGGGAAAAAGAGGGAGATCGGCGCCCTCAGTGAAGATGACGACGAAGAAGAGCCCCGCCAGAAGAAGCATCACATTCACATCATCGTCGGCGGGAACACAGGGGGGGACTCGGCTACCCAACGGAAAAAATGGGCTCAGTCCCTGTACGTTGGTGAGGTGACCCATGCCCCCCCTCAGCCGAAGCGGCGGCACGTGGAGGCCATCACCTTCACCGACAAGGACCTCCCCTTCGGCCCCTTGCCCCACAGGGACGCCCTCGTCGTCAAATGCGAGATCGGCAACAACATCATCCACCGCAACTACATCGACACTGGCAGCTCCGTCAATGTGATGTACGTTGATACATTCAGACAGCTGAAGTTGAAGAGGACCGAGCTCCGGCCGATACGGACTCCGTTATCCGGCTTCACCGGGGACTCTATCGACGCCGAGGGCACGATAGTGCTTCCCGTTGTGGTCGGTGACGGTACCTGTCAGGCGAAGATTGACATGGAGTTCGTGGTTGTCAACCTGGACAGCGCCCACAACATGATCTGGGGCCGACCGGCCTTGGAGGACCTTGAGGCCATCATCTCCATGAAACATCTATGCCTCAAGTTCCCCACCAAGGACGGCGTCGGCTACGCCAGAGGGAACCAGAAGATAGCAGGGCTTGCTACCTGAAACTCACAAGAAAGATCAATGAGGCCGAGGAGCGGATAGACACTATCACCACCGCCTCGGCCGAAGAAGACACACCAAAGGCTGAACCGGTCGGAGACGTGGAAGACGTTCCGTTGGACGTCTCCCGGCCGGAACGCACGCTGAAGATTGGGACACAGCTCCCCCAACAGATCCGAAGGGACATCCTCTCTGTCCTGAGAGCGTACGCCATCGTCTTCGCATGGGGACCAGAGGACATGCCGGGCATCAGCCCAAAGGTAATCACACATCGGCTATCGGTGAACCCGGCCTCCTCCCCCATCAAACAGAAGAAGCGCTACCTCTCAGCCGACAGGAGGGAATTTGTCAAGGCCGAGGTGGCCATGCTGCTCTCCATCAGGCACATCAAAGAGGTGAAGTACCCCACGTGGTTGGCGAACGTCGTCCTCGCCCCAAAGCCGCCTACGTTCAGAATGTGTGTTGATTACACTGACCTGAACAAGGCATGCCCAATGGACCCATTCCCTCTCCCCAACATTGATCAGTTGGTGGATGAGACGGCGGGGTGCGAGTTGATGTCGTTCCTCGACGCGTTCAGAGGGTACCACCAGATATCCATGCACGAAGATGACGCGGAGAAGACTGCTTTTATGACCCCGGAGGGAATTTTTTGCTACCTCGTCATGGCCTTTGGGCTCAAGAACTCCGGCGCCACCTACACAAGGATGGTAGCCCGGATTTTTAGAGCAGTCTTAGGTCGGACGATGGAAGCATACGTCGACGATATGATCGTCAAGAGCAAACAATCCACAACTCATGCCGACGACCTCCGGGGCATCTTCGAAATCATGAAGAGATACAACCTCCGGCTCAACCCGAAGAAGTGCACCTTCGGCGTCCAGGGAGGTAAATTCTTGGGGTACCTGGTCAGCCGAAGGGGCATCGAGGTGAACCCAGAAAAGATACAAGCCATTATCAACATGGAGCCGCCCCGCAACATAAAGGAGGTGCAACGGCTGACGGGACGCCTCGCGGCCCTGAACCGTTTTCTCTCAAAATCCGCTGAGAAGTCTCTCCCTTTTTTCCAAATAATGAGGAAGGCCACCAGCTTCAAATGGACGACGGAGTGCCAGCGAGCCTTTGAAGAGCTGAAGCAATATCTCGCCTCCCCGCCCGTCCTATCCAAGCCCCAACCCGGCGAGACTCTCTTCCTTTACTTAGGAGTGAGCACGTCGGCCGTCAGCTCCGTACTCATCAGGGAGGATGACGGGGT